ATGTCCCGCTTTTCCTAATCCCTGTCTACACTGAACCCGCAGACATCAGGGCATCATGTAGTGGGGCAAGTGATGTGAGGATTTCAGTGTCTGGAGGAACCTCCTGGAGGAACTTGTCAACAACAGACACTCCTGGGCCTAACCTCAGGGGTCTGGGTGGAGCCAGGTACCTGCACGTTAAACAGTCATTAACTCGGGAGATTCTGGTACAGGTGGGTGATGGCAAACATTCTGAGGAGTCTTGGGAGGTGGGTGGGAAGGAGGATGCCAGCAGATGGCCGGGCTGAAGTCCTCCGGGGATTGCCTCTGGGAATCAGTTTCCTCCCATGTAATGTGGAGGGGATCATACTTTGGCCCCTGGCATATGGTGAGTATTCAGCTGTTATTGCAACCCCTCCTGATGGGGTGTGCCCTGAGCCTACCCTCTTCCTGCTATGTGACAAAGGCCAAGTCCTTTCCTGTGACCAGCACCTGACTCTGACCTCAGTTTCCCTGAAGGGGAAGCTGGCCAGCTTTGAGGTTGTACTCCAACATAAGTTGGATGGCGGGAGCCATCTTGGCAGGGCTGAGTCAGGGAAGTCGGTGGTGCCCGCATGTGCATGCACCCCGTGCGGGCACCCTTTTCTCCCATGCCTCCCTTTGGGTCCCCTGGGGTGACACACAATTGGAAAAGCTGGGACCCCAGCCCCCTTCCAACACGCCTGTGTGATCTCTCAGGGCCAGGGGGGCTGGGCAGAGATGTCCTGTTTTCCATCCTCACTGACGCAGATAATTCAAAGAGTCACCTCAGCTGCTTGGGGCAGCAGGGCTGGATCTTGCACTATCTGATTCCTAATGGGGCCGATGTCCACCTGTTTCCTCCAGGCTTCTCAGGGGAGCCTGAGGCAGTCTGGACATGAGGTATAGTCCAGCCCCAGCAGGTTCTTGAGCAGGAGAGTGGCAGTGTGAGCATCGAGTTCTAGGAAAAGGGTCAGCTCAGCCATCAGATGGGAAGAAGGCCCCAGCCACCCCCTCCCTCAAGAGGAAGAGTCCCTGGAGCATCCTCGTTTATTTTAGGAGAATCCAGGCCCTATTGCCTCGGTGCCTGGCAGCTCTCTCCCCACCTCACCCCTGCCATCTAACTGAGGCGGGTGGAGGGGGCATTAGAGGCTGATAAACCAAAGCTCATGGCTGCTCTGCTGCTTCCTGGCTGTGTTCTCTCAAGCAAGCTACGTCACCCCTCCAAGCCTCGGTTTCCCCTACATTAGCGGGGGGATAACCCCTCCTCATAAGACTGAGGTATATAAAGTGTTGTGAATAGCCTGATTCACCCAGTCCAATGCTCTCACAGTGCAGATGGGAACTGAGCTCAGGGAGCAGAAGGGTCCCCCCAGAGTCACGTCTCTGGTGACAGGAGCAGGCTGCCCCCTGGGGTCAGATGTACTTTCTCTGGCACCTTGCAGCATCCTGTCTTTTGGATGCATTGATATTATGTTCCCTGGCAAGAGCCTTTGGTACCATCTTTGAACTACAGGGGAGAGAGCCAGGAGTGGCCCAGGGCCTGGCACTGGAGCGGGTGGTGGTCCAGGGCCTGGGTCCTCCCTGAACTTCAGCCAGGCATGAGGAGGAACAGGCCAGGGGAGAGGGGGCGAGGCCAGCGACTGCCTGCAGAGGCTGGTGAGAGGCTCCTAGGCGGTGGCAGTGTGGGGACCAGCTAGAAATGATAAGGAAGGCCCACCTGATGCCAGCTGAGCAAGGGGCACCGCAGCTTGTAAACAGCCATGCCCTGAGCCCCTTAAGTGTCCCCCACCGCCCGTCACCCCAGCCCTGCTCTGAGGCCTCTGGCCCAGCACTGCAGCCTTTATCTATTCCAGGGGCCTGCCCACACCTTCCCGGTTGATGACTATTTTGAGCATCCTCCCTGGAAGGAGGCCTGCTGACCGTCATCAACTGCGACCTGTTTTGGGGGCCTCTGGAGCAGTGGGGGTGGGGGCATGGCTCTCTCCCAGCCTGGCCCTGTGCAGCGCCGCCAGTCACACCCTCCCACAGCAGCTGGTCCCCATTTCCGCGGTGCCCTGGCCTGTGTTTACAAGGCAGCTTTCTTTCCTCCAAGACCAACTGTGTGTGGAGCAGCCGGAAGCTTCCCTAACACTGCTGGGCAGGTGGGGCTGGCATGTGGGGAGGTTGAGCCGGAAGGGATTAGTAACCAGGCAGCGGGCAGCTCAGCGCCGTGTGCCCGGGCAAGCTTGGCAGCATGGCCTCCACTCCCACTGGGCAGCAAACGAGAGGTGGGGAGAACTGCCCCACCTGGGGTGGGGGGATGTGAGCAGTGCCTGCACCCCCGAGACTGTCACAGTGACATCTCTCTGTTTTTCTGAAGTGGAGACGCAGAGGTCTGGCAGCACCTGTACTCTGGAAAGCAGGCATGTGGGGGCCAGGGCCACTGAGACCCCGGGCCTTGGAGGGTGGAAGGGCAGACACGTTGGCTAGCAACACCAGCCTAGCGGCTTAGGACAGGAAGCCATCTGACGGAAGCCGTCTGACTGCCAGCCCCACGTGGGGCCCTGGAGCAGCGGGGGCCGGGCTGGGGAGACAGAGCCAATCTAAAGAGCATCAGGGCAGCTCCTGCCAGAAGGTGACCTTGTGTGCTGGGACAGCTGCCACCCGCGCTGGGCACCTTTGGGGGCACAAAGTGATGGCCGGCGGGCCACTGCCGGCCGGTGTGCGGGAAGCCTGCCAAGGCCTTCCCTGCACTGGCCCTGCTGTCCCTGGGGGACCACGCTCCTCTCTAATCCCTTCCTTCCCTTTGCATCTCGAGCTCTCCGAACAGGTGAGCGGCAGACGACAGGCTGGTCCACGCTGGAAGCGCGCTCTGACCCTGGCGCTTCTAGCAGGCCACCTGTGGCCCGATTCTTCCCACTGGTCACTTCCTCCAGGAAGCTCTGTGGACATTGGGGAGGGTCCCGAGGGATGGCATCCCTGGTGCCCCCACTCAGCTTTACTTGCCTGTCCTTCCTTGTACATCCACCTCCCCGCCTCCTCCCACCACACAGAGGATTCTGATTTTAATGTGAGTAGGAGCCATTTGCACATCAAAAGTCAGATTTGGTCTGGACAAGGTGATCACACCTGTGGCTCTGACTGGGGGACCTTGGGCACTGTGGGACCCTCGCACCCACTGTCAGGTCACCTGACACCTGGAACGCCTTTCCTCTGGCCCAGGTGTGCCAAGCACACCCCTGCCAACTCCCTGCTCCTGATGTATCTGCAGGAACTCACCCTGATGTGCAAGGCATCGCATGCTGAGTTCTCAGCACTTGCAACTTGCTTTTGTTGCTGGTGCTTTTGAGAAGCCAGAGCCAGAAGGACCGTGCGGCGCTGTGGTCCTCCATGTGTTTTCTCAGCCTCAGGGTCTTCTAGAATCCTGAGGGAGGAAGGGTCACTTGGAAGAGCATTAGGGGTCCCTCAGCATGTCCACAGGGTGCCAGAACCTCTCTTGGTACTTACAGAGAACAGGGGTCGTTTTATAACTAAAGCGTTTATTTCCATTCAATTTACTAACCGATTGTTCCGCTCAGGTGTCTGCGCTGGCTTACAGGAGGGAGTCTGTGGCCAGACTCCTTGGCCGAGGGCTTCCCCATGGCCAAGACCTTCAAGCCTGGCAAAGGTTTGGCGGGGGAAAGGGGGGAGAGAAGTCACACGCTTTCTCCCCAGGGAAGGGAAGGGTGAAGCCTGCCCGAGCCTCTGAGGGCACCCTCTGGAGGGCTGGGGTATCACAGTGAATGATCCGGGTCCTGGCCTCCGATGCAGCTGGGTTTAGGCTCCCAGAGGTGAAACTCTGTGGTGGCCAGGGACCTGGAAGGGGCCCATTTGCCTGGGACCTGCTAGACGGACGGGGCAGGCGAGTTGGGGAGTGGGCACAGACTTCCAGCCCCACTGCCCCAGAGCCCACTTCCTACACCATCCGTCCCCTTCATAACAGTCCTGGGTGGGAGGCACCTCCCTCTCCCCCCCCCACATCCCACTCAAGTCTCTGAATGGCCCTGATGGCCCCGTGGCAGTTGGCTTTGGTGAGGCCTGGCGGCAGGTGGGACGAGGAAAGAGTGTCAATGAAAACCGTATAAAAAGTCCAGAAATGTGCATATAAAATCTCGCCCTTGGTGTATTGCCTAAGTCAGTAAGCAGAAAGCACCTTCTTCCTGGAGAAGGATCAAGTCCTCAAAAGGTAGGAAATGTCAAAGTGTCACTTCATTGTCATTAAAAAAAAAACCCCAACAAACAAACCCCCCAGAACCAAAAACCACCCCGACCAAAAGACCCCGAGTTCACAAATCGCTGTAAACAAACCCAGATGCAGGATCAGTCAACCCTTCTCAGTGGCAGTCGTAGCTGATGGCAGTCACTGCGGCATTAATCCTCGAGGCGGGAGCTGGCAGGAGTGGGCGCCTGGGCGGGGCCGCTGGGCTGTACGCATGATATGTACGTGTGGCTGCAGACCTGGGAGGCCATCCTCAGGAGGGTTGGCCTTTCTGGTGTCCTGGTGTTCTCCCTGACCCAGGAGGACACAAGCCCCTTTCGGCCCCGTGAGCTGACAGGAGGAACAGTGTCTTTCACTGGAGTTTTTAAAACATTCTCTGAAGACAAAAACTCTTCTGCACTGGCAGCGGGGACGGAGCTCTCAGAGGGCCCCTGGGACGGCCACCTGTCCACTAGTCCATCTGCCTGGTGCTCAGCGGTTGAGTGAGGCCCCACAAGAGCCACTCGGTGTAGGAGGGAAGGACAGCCCTTGGCTCGCCCCTTCACATTTGTTTTCCTGGAAGTGTCTCTTGGCTCCTGCCCGGTCACCTTCCCAGAGGGAGCTGGAGAGAAACTGCTCTTGGTCTCCGACGGGACACATCGCACGGATCTCCCAAGCCCTTTCTCTTCCCCAAGAACAGCCATCGCTTTCCTCATGAGAATCCTCTTTAAAAAATATTCCTTGTGTTTCCCGCCCCCTCCCAGGTCTGTTTTCTCATCCCCGGTTCCCTTTGTTTCCGTCTTTGAGTTGCATGTGTTCTCGGTGACGTCTCGTGGCTGGAGCACGGCTTGGTTCTTCCTGCTGCCCCTGGCCTCCTGGCGGGTGGCTGACCCTGCAGTGGACGGAGCACCAGGATGGCCGGCGGCAGGGGTGGAGGGGGCGGGGCCTGGAGGAAGAGGTGAGCAGAGGCAGGCGAACGTCAAACCTCCACAGACTGAATCTGGTTCATCTGTGCCCGCATCACCTGGATACTGTTCAGGATTTTTTTCTGGTGGCCAGCCAAAGTGACCCCAACCCGGAGAATGTCCCTTTGGGAGAGAAGCACGTGTGTTAGGGAGCTGTGGGGGCGCAGGGGGCTCCATGCCTGGTAGAGAGCCGCCCGGGCTTCCCCAGGGGCTTGGTGCTGAGGATAGCAAGGGCTGGAGGGGTGGGTGGGGGAGTAGGCAGGCGGCTGCAGCCGGAGTGACTATGGTGGAAGAGCACTTGACTGGGAGTCAGGGTGCCTAGCTGTGGGGAAGGGAAAGACAAATTGCAGATACAAAGCACCTACTGCCTTTATTTCTCCTTCAACCTTCCTACCCACTTTACAGATGAGAAAACCGAGGCTGAGGGAGGCGCTGGGATTTGCCCAAGGTCATGCAGCTGGTGGGTGGCAGTAAGGCCTGGGTATCAGGCCGGATGTGACCCCACAGTTGGCCACCTTGCCCCGGGTCCCCCACATCCCCACTGGGACACTATTCCTCGCCCGCCAGCGTGCCTCACTTGGCTGAGGGAGTGCGTGGGGCAGACGGGCGAGCTCACTGTGGCGGGCACTTACTCCATCATCATCTGAGACACGATGTCAAAGGACGTGAAACCGGCGCTGGCGAAGCTCTCCTTGTACTGCCCCATCTTGATGGCCTCCAGCCACTCGTCCACCGTGTTAAAGCTGGTGTAGTCGGGGATCGTTCGGTCCAGCAACGGCAGGTTGATGCTGGGGGTGGGGGTGGGTGAGACGGTCAGGGGATGGCTTGTAGGGCGTGGGAGGGTGAGTATGAGAGTGGATGCGCCTTTGAGTCATGTGTGCCCGTGCACATGTGTATCCATGTATGTGAGCCTCGTGAGTGTGTGGATATGTATCTGCATGCCCGTGGGCATGAGCTTGAACCTGTGTAAACACACATGTGTACATGCATAAGCATGGGAGAGTGAGTCTGCAGGATGCAGAGCTGGGGCCACCCAGGAGGGCTCTGCAGGAATCTCTGAGTGGCTGGACTACGATTGTGAGTGGAAGACACTTCTCTGTGCTTCCGATTTCTAGGAGGAGGAATTTGGGCTGGCCTACTATGCTGATTATTCACTAATTCCTTCCCCAGTGCCAGCTCCACTCTTCTCCGCCAGGGTTTGTGCTACAGCAGGTAGACCGTGTGGCCGGCATCCCCAAAGTCCAGCTGAGGCTGGTGGTGCTCACACAAATGACTTCATGACTGGCAAGGAGGCTAAAAGCTCAGAGTGACTTTATCCAGAGAGTCAGGAGTGGCTGACGCAGGGTCATGGTGAGTAGTGACAGGCAGAGGTGAGCAGGAAGCTCTTGTGGCCATGAGAACTTTGTTTGGCCCAAGGAGTCTCTGGCCACAGCCAGCGCTGGATCCTGAGGATGTCTGGCTGGACCCCTTGTAAGCCCTGTGGGTCCTGAGGAGTAACTGTGGACAGGACCAGCAGTGGGACCCATAGCAGCCATCCAGGAAGGGGGTGGTGAGTTGTCCTGAGAGAGTTGCCCTGGGATCTTGGGGAACAGGGAGGCACTGGGGTATCTGAGCTGACACCCCTCAGGCTGACCCAGTATGGGTGTGTGGTGAGTACAAACTTCTGGATGGGGTGTGTGCTTAGGTGCCAACGGAGATGTGTAGGTATGAGAGCCAGAGACCGTGTGTATATC